GGGGCAGAATATTCCCTCATAACCTCATAATAGCATATGCTGTTCCAGTATCCTTAAATCTGCCTAACTAGCAAACAGAACTCAAGTAAGAGCAAGAAAGACTATTTTCCTGTCTGGGCAAGAACATACTCATCATCCTCACTGTTACATGCACAACCAAGCAGTCACACTGAAGTACTTAGGAAAATTCTTTCAAGTTAGTTTCAAGATATACAATGCCTCTGAAAAACATTATTTCACGGTTTTGCACTCCTCCCCATGCCCCAAACATGTGACAAGAACACTTACGGCTTCTATTTGTTTATGCTGATTTGCAGGGTTTAGGATTGAATACCAACCAAGAGTTTCTGACTACTTACCCACTCTTCCTCATCGTACTCAGAATGATGGGGTATAGAGTCCTGTCTTTTAATCTGAGAAGGATGATCCTGATGCTGTAAATCACCCCCCTCTTCTGCACTGTTTCTAGGCACAGCTGGTTTCTTGAGGACACAGCCAGGCCGAGCTGTGTATAGTGCTAAAAGGGCACTTCTGACCAGCTGATCCTTAAATGCGTGCACAAATAACTCTGTCTAGAAAAAATAAAAAAAAAAAAAAAGAAAAGGTTAGACTACAAAATGTGATACTGCAACATAGCTATTATCACGCTGAATTACCCTTAGGCAGAGTGGATATTTGTTCCAGGCCAGCCTGAGAGGCATAAAACAGAGTAGGCCAACAAACAATGAAGAACAATTCAAGGGTTTTAGGGACATCATCACATTCTACAATGCCAGTGTTCTAAGGATTAACACAAAAGTACAGTGTCTTTCACAGAGATCATCATCTTTTCAGACAATCCTATTTTATTTGAGTTCCAATTTTTTGCCTGCAGAGATGAGCCTCTACAAGAACGAGTTCCAAGAGTAACCAACCACTGCTCAGTAAATTCCAAGTAAGTGTAGAGATAAAACATGATTAACAAATTTAAAGATCATCTTAAATAAAACCACACAACTCTACACTGCTGAGATTGCAGCATTGGCAAAAGCAGTGTTTCCAGAGATAAATTTTGGTACCTGTAGGTAGCAATCCAGATATCAGGGCAGGTGATGACACTTGATTTCTAGCTTTATTTTATTTATTTTTAAAGAAAGGAAATCTTGACGTTGTTTTCTCGAGGCTCTCTGAAGGTGTTATTCAATCACTGTATCATTTCTCTAAATCCTTCTTGTTGACTGTGACAGCTGGAAGTTTACCGTATTTTTAAAAACCTCCAACCTCCCTGAATTATTTATCTCTCTTCCACCCCAACAAGAAAAGGAAAATGCTTTCTGCATATGGTCTTTAGCATCTCTAGACTGCTTCCATGTAACAGCACTGACTGTTGCCCATCTCCTGCAGTCACACCCAACATGTGGCACTAGCTCCACTACTCTTCTTACTTAGGAAGGTGGCCTATTTGCTCTATCAGCTGACACAACTTACTGAACAGGAGAGGGTGAGGTGCAGGGACATATTTCCTTTCACTACAGGGTGGTCTGCCATAGTGACAGACAGCTGGGGAGAGCCACAATTTTGATTACTTCAACAACATTCAACAAGGTTCAGCTGTCAGATCAGAGAGAGCATGTGCCCTGCCGCTATAACTCATCCACCACATCCCACCCAGGCTGCCAGAGCTTCTCTCCCCAGTCAGAGGCCCTGGTTCACAGGTGCTGAAGTAACAGTTTCACATTTCTTTCACAGCACGATTACCTGAATTTATTTATCCCAGGTCAGTGGGATTTAGTTGCAGGTTTATTTATGCAGAAGGTAGTGGATTGTTATGTGCAGATTCAGATGCTGAACTGCCTTTGTGCACACAATCTTAATAGGCATGTGGAAATGTAGATAAGGGTCAGAGCAACCAGCCTGAAGAAGCAGTCACACAAAGCTAGCAAATGCTAGAAATAAAAATTGCCCAGCCAAGCTTCATTGAGTGCTTTCATGATTCTTATGCAAAACCTGGAGAAGTAGTAGCAAAAAACCCCAAACAAAACAAGTTTCAAGTGTCAGCATCTGTCTTCCTGGAAACCTTTCCCCTAGTTTCTGCACTTCTTACTTCTATTCTTACTCCATCCCTTTTTGCTAGGACGTGCTCTCCTTTTGTATGCCTCTACTCCTACTCAACTTATTTTTCTTGCTTTCCTGCCTGAATACACCCTCAAAAATTTAGTGACACTTAGACCACCTAAATAATTGATGGTTTTCTTAAAGCTCTAGCAGCTGGGTTAGGTACCTGCTTGAGAATTTTCTCCTTTTCCCCCATTTTCACAATGTTTAGGAAAGAGATATTTTTGATCCTTAATGGTTGCATGTAGGAAGGCTGAAAATTTGCTGCAAATAAAACTCAGAAGTCTTAAAAAGAAGAACATTAGGGATAGCTAAGCTAAGTTATGCCTTTTTAAACCAACATCAGGACTTCTTCCAGACCTGATTTGGGATTCTTTAGTGATTAGGCTTGGCAACACTATTCATCTCCCTAGTGATTTTGCTAGGCCCATTCTGTCTGTTCCTTACTAATTTGGTGCCTGAAGGAAAGGGTGCTTAAACAAGACAGTTTTCTTATACGTAGCCCTTCAGGACTGACTCATGGTAGTCCTGAACTGCAGTATAGGACAATTTCAGCTTTTTACATTTCCAGCCTCCACTTGGTGTGTACTCAGAGAATATGCAGTCTTTGGGGAATATTGCTAGCAAACCCTACCAATCTTCTATAAAGAAGAGGCAAAGTGAGACTTGCGGAGCTGTCTCTTCTTGCATGGCAACAGTAGAGCTCCTCTTCAAGACTGTTCTACAGTTCTGTATCAAGACAGTCCAAACTACTTCACTTGTCTGTCCTTAGAAATGACACCATGGTTTTGCTGAGGTTTTGTACCTCCCCTCCCTCTCAAAGTCTGCTTGAGACCATTTCAGGTCTCTGCATCAGTCACAGTAGAAGGAAAAAAGCTTTAATTTTCAGAAAATTTAAGTACTGGACAACTTGAAGTAAGGAATGCCTTCTATGACTGCAACGTATATTAGGCAACTATCTGAAAAGTTTATGTAAACTGGCATGGAAGCAAAACTACATTTTTTTCATATGGAGATCAAAATGCTTCTGTAATTAAATTACATTCAGGGATTCCATTGGTTTAACAACAATCTACATTTGAACTGCATTTTCTTCCAGCTCGGTACAGCTAAATTTGCAGAACATCACTATTTATAAAATTCTATTCAAATCACAAAACAAGTCTATACAAAGAAATGAAAACTTTGCAAATTCTTTTAGATACTTGACTAAAGAATATTTCTGCAAACAAAGATAGGCATAGCTGGAAAATGAATTTATCAAGCCTTCTGCAAGCTGCAAATGCTGATACACTTGTCGACAGCTAAAGGCTTCCTTAATCAATTAACAGAAGGTGTGGACAAAAGGTTAGTCTCAGGAAAACACTACAGTAAATTGCAGATCATATATGGAGAAGTAAAACCATGCTTAATATGAGAAAATAAGCTAAATTTAAGAGGCGGCAGTGGAATTATTTGATTTAATTTTCCACTTTCAATGCATGCAGCGAGTCCTTCCATCTCTAACATAAATACTGAACTATAATTCACATTATTGATAGCTCAGATACACTCACTGCTACCTAAGGTTTTTAGAAAAAAAAATTCTATATATCAAGCTTAATATTATCTTAAAATAAAAAGCAATATACTTTTTAATAAGCTTGAGGAATTTAATCATCACACAAGTCATTTTTATGACTACTTCAATTCCTAAATTTCTATCAAGTTAAAAAGTAAGAGAACATTTCTATTTTACATACAAAAAGTATATAAAAGGTGAGAGAGCAGAAGCACCTCAAACATCTCAAGAATACAGGTAGGCATCACATAATTCTATTCAGAAGAGCAGGCTAACCTACCTTAATTATAACTAGGGACATTCTGTTAGTCTTAGTTCTCCCATACTGTACCAGATTATATAGACAGGTTATTTTAGGATATCGAGATGATGGTTTTTGTTAACCATGAGGGATTGCAGCACTTTATGGTTTACTTTATGGTTTACTCAATTTGAGTTTTTGAAACTTCGTATCACCCTTCCCTGAAGTTGTTTCTTGGTCTTTCCTTTCCTCCCCAACTCTCTTCCTTCTTTACAAGTACCTGTCCCTCCACACCAGTTTCCTCAGCAATGGTCCCACCCTCTTTCTCAATTACCATCTTCTCCTCAAAGTAAATTTGGAAACAGACAGGGAAGCAGGTATTCAACCATTCACGCAGCAGTTGTTCAGACAACTGGATTCATCTCTTCCAAGCAAAAGGTGAAGGCTAGATGGAAACTATGGGCTATGTTGGGTTAGAGTCCTGCCTCCACTTCTGGGATCCTGTGCTCATGTACTAACCAGTAATTTAATCCTGGCCCTGAAAAGTCAACATGAACATATACAACTAAATCATCAGCTACAAATTTAAAATATCTGTGACTTTTCCTACCTGAATGGACTGTCCTTTTTGGCCCTCTTCTGTAGTCAGATCCTCCAATAGGCCATGGTTCAAACAGTGGATTAGTATCACACCTGCCTACAGCCACTCTGAAACTGTCCACTCCTCCTGCCTAGAGAGGCAAAGGTGGGAAGGGCAAAGCAAATGGCTATAGCTAACAGACAAATTCCTTAGCAACCAGGTCTTGAATCTTCAGAACAGACACTTCTTTGTTTGATCTGCTTTACTTGTGCATGCATATTTCTTTGAACTAAACACTAACAGAGTAGTTTCACTTTTTCTATGCACAGCTAAAGATGGCCTCCTTCAGTACTACATGGAAAGGTATGCTATAATTGCCACAAAACCCCCCTAAATGCCTACCTTTCATTTCCAGGCTGAATTCTACTTTCCTATATTATCTCTGACATTCACAGAGACTCCAATGCTCTCAGTTACTGTGGATTTACACATCTGTAACCAAGAGCAACGTTTATCTCCCCTGTGGCTCCAATGCAATGCCTTCACAGTATGTGGCTGAGCTCAATATTCAGATTTGAAACTCTCCCACTGAACAATGTACTGCTGAGATAATAGTGCTCAACAGACCACAGGGGTTGCCACTTTCCAATAGCTGAAGATATATTGAAATGGTTATTGATAGTGTTATTAAGCCATATTGAGATCACATTACAGAAGGTATGGCCCATGAAATGATGTGAAATTTTTTTCAACCCCTCTGGTCATAGCTACAGTGCTTAATATTTATATAGGATAACATATGCTTAAAAGTACTTCAGACTTCAGCTAATCTGCAATATCACTCTGTGAGACAGGTGGAAAATATTATCTTCCTTACTTTAGAGCTAAAGAAACTAAGATGAGGAAAAGCCTACAGCTACAGAGGAATATAATAGGAGAAAGAGGATTAAAATTTGAGACCTCCTGGCACCAACTTCCTAGCTTCTCCTTCCAGACTGCATCACCATTTCTGATCATGTTGTTATTCTAAACCTTATGCAGAAACCTGCCTTGAACTACTACCCACAAGGAGGAGCATGAAGAATCACAGAAATAGAAATAAAATAACCATTTATCATACCACAAAATTATTTACAATAATCTATTTTTGGTAAACCCCAGTATGTGGCCACTAGAGGATAACAGACACATGAAATGAAATTAATTATACTTTCAAATAAAGGCAACCTTTATAGATTTCATTAATTTTTTTACACAGAAAGCCTACAGAAATGCTACATAATATTCTTTTTCTGATAGCAACATTTTGAACCTTATTTTAGCAGAGCTTATTTAACACTTCCTGATGCTATGAAAGTCAATTTATGCAGAAAAACCCCCAGCAGTTAGAGACTAGGTTATTCCACTTTCCATCGCAGTGAAGATTTGAATCTTACTTTTTCTGAAAGCATCTTTAAAGAATTCTTCAAGCTGTCTGGAGAATGCTGGCTTGCAGAATTAAGCAGCAGGTCTGCATGGCTTGATATGAGAGGTTGTAGATGATTGATGTTGCTGAGAACTTCTTTTGCCTTGGCTGTGTTTTCAGGTGAATAGTAAATACACTGGTATCCAGTACTGTAATAACAGAGAAAGAGTCACATAATGTCAAAATAATTTCTGCTATTAATAACAATGCTTAATATGCTAAAAATCTTACCATTAGTTTTGCAAAAAATGACAGATACCTGAACTAATGTCATTGAAATGCTCCTTCCTTTAAGGGTAAAAACAAATCCTTGCTTGAGCAGTAGAGGACAACAGACTGCCCCATCACTAAATGCTCCAAGTAGTACTGTTCAACTTAACCATCCCTTTCAGTGACTGATCTTAACATAACAGATTTATTTATTTTAAAAAATGTTACTCTGGAGAAATTAAAGGTTTGACCAAATCAGGTAATAATCACAAAGAGCATAAAGCTCCTTATTTTTCCAGCTGAACTCCCCATCATTTTATTAACTACCTCACTAAGTCTTTCAAAATGAGCCACTAATCTTTAACTGATCACTGGCCCACACTATGTTTTGATTAGCATCAGTAATGTCCAGGAAGAGGCAGTAACCAGAGTTAGTGCCAAAAAACATCATGTGTCTAATTTGCAACAGAAGACGTTGAAATGAGGCATGGGAGTTAATGACTACAAGCCACACAAATGCATACTGCAAACTTCCTACTTTCCTTTTCATGAGCTATTGCAATTCTTTTGAATGACTTCTTTTCCTATGCCTTGTTTTGTTTCCCCTCAACACTTACTAATTATGCAATATCCTTTCATACCGCTATTCCAAAACACCATTTTAGACAGCATGCATGCACCTACTGGTTCTTTGCTGTAGTACACATCTCCCCACCTAAACTCCTCTACACAGTCCTTCCCTTTGTAAAGCCCTGCTTCAGTCTTTCAGAGAAACTAACGAAAATCTTTTGCAGTTTCAGATTAATGCAGAATGTTAACACAGGAAAAAAAAAATAACCAAGCAACTCTTGGAACATTACCAATGCCAGAGCAATGGACATACTATTCCCCAGTTGGTTCTGTATGTATCTATCTCCCTTCTTTCCTCTTGCGTCTTTTCATCATACATCCTTCAATCTCTTCCACCCTTTCCCATGTGATTTAATTTCCTTCTTAAATTCAGATACCAAGACCTGAATTTTGACACTCGTGCAATCCTTTGAATGTCACGCATTGCTTTTCATTTCAGTCTTTTTCCAAATCTCTTCACTCCCCCATTTCCCCTTTGTGTCTTCCAGTGTCCCTACCATTAGTTTTCTACAAATTAGAAATTAAATTTAATTCAATAAAGGACATAGACAATACACATTCAGAAGTCCAAATGAAGTCACTTCAACAAAACTTAAAAGGCTTAAGTCTTTTGGCAAATAAGGATAGATTCAAGCAGTCTCAAAATTAAGCCTCTTGCTTAGGCACTTTGCTGAGTTATAGTCCCAAATTCCACAGTATCCCATCCTATTTTTCTGTCTTTCACTAATGTCTCAATTTTCAGATACAGCTCTTTGCAGATGCAGTGAGGTTGAATGGCATCTGAGTCAGCAAAGCCATGATCAGTCATGCTACCAGCCACAACAAAATTACTATGCACCTCCAATTCACAGTCTACCACATGAGCTGCTAGTCTCCTGATGCAGAGGTCAGAATTCTGAATATTTCAACAAAATGAATCATATAAACCATCTCTCCTAATAAATTGGGCAAAAAGGTCCCTGTCCCTCTGAGAAATTAGGAACTGGCCACAGCTCTGCCTTCAAGGTGGCACCGTTAGTGAAATGAATTTCCAAAGTATAGACCTATCTCTACATTCACTGCAACTCTCAAGCTGTCAGACTTGGTAGACAGTGCAGGGACAAAGAGTAACGGTCCATGTTAATTGTAGTGAAGACATTGTCTTAAAAGTCTTGATATTTCACAGTGCTGAATAGTTTTCTCTAATTCCCCTTCAGACTTCTCCCTCTCTTTATCAACCAGCCTTTCTGCAGGCTGAATTTGGCTAACACTGCTATCAAGATCACCATGCACATGCTCCTCTCTGGGATTCCCCTCAGCCTTTAATTCCCAGATCGTTTCCACTGATCTCCCACAGCTCTAAGCTTCATTAAATATTGCAGCAGAAAAGCTACAGACAATGCTATAAGAAAAGAAAGACCAAAGAGTGACACTAAACCTGTGGGTAGCTCTCATTCTAATAAAGTCAAACATCACTATTTCCTTTAGTTAAAAGCTAAGACAGAATGACCCTTTCTTCAGAATGAAGTGTTCTAACAGACCTCACCATCTGGCTAATTTTGACATTTCCTGAACCCCAGAAAGCATGAAATGACTCCAAATATTGAGTTTCCTTTAGAATTTGAGGGCAACTTCCTCTCTCCCCCCAAGAAAATCCAAAACTATTTTTCAGAAACATGTTTGGGAGTTCTGAAGTTACTAATTGTTGTGTCTCAACACTGTTGCATCTAAGACTAGCCTGAGATTTTCTCTGGCCTTACCACTCATGAAAAGATGTTACTATTTCCAAATCACTGAAATTATTTTCCTTATAAATAACTATTTTTAGAGCTTGCTGCCACATATAGCTATGGTATATATAAGTAGTATTACTTAAAAAATGCAGCTGCCAATAGAACATACAGAGAAACTTTTCACAGATGTCCTAACGCAGAAACTAGATAAAGGGAATTACAAGAAAGAAGAAACTTTTGCACTAGGACAAAGGCCACACGGGTAGGTCCAGTGCAAGAAATCAGCATCACCTATCTTTGATATGTAGAATATACTATTAGTCATGTACCTTTTGAAAAAGTCTATAATAATGTCTTCTGGGTTAAGTTTCGAAGTTTTCCTTAAGCATATAATAATCACACTTAGTCATTTCCATATATTAGCACCATCATTAACTACGTACACATGACTGTCAGTGGTCATTTCAGTTTTACAATTGCTTTAATAACATTGTCATGTAATTTGAATAAAGATTACATTGACTACATCTGCAGTTTTAACTCTAAATTAACAAAGTTTTTGCCTGAGAATAAATACCGCAATATGCTAAATGTCTAATTTTTAATGACACTCTGAGTAGCTCCACTCCTGCTGTTAACTGAGTAATTTGTGTGACTGAGTTAAATTGTCACCATCTGGGACTGGGTTAAAATCTTTCAACAATGAACATTTGACCTCACTTTTTTCACGGTCAAAACTGCAGACGTTAACATCAAGAATACAGTTAAAGCATACATAGCAACAACATCTACCTCAGATAATAACCTCGAGCTTATGTATGCTATTGAAGATATCAATTCAGTGACTTATTTATGCATCACGTATTCTGTCTAAAGTGGGAAGTTTTGATAAAAAAATTGCTACATAAAAAAACCTCAGGACCATTCACTGCCTCAGGAAATAAAACTAAACCATATGATGAGTTCTGAGGTTTTGAAAACAGGCCTGGGAGAGATCAGAAATTCAAATTAATTTTTTTTTTTTTAATTTCCCTAAGATTCCCCTGCAAACTTGGAAACTCTAACTTTGAATACTGAGGAAAATCAAACGAAGTTATTAGTTCTGTCTAATCCGTCTTTACTTATGAAGTCCAAATCTCCATGAATCCTTACCTTAAAGCAATGGCTAAGGCTGTATGCAGAAAGCTTCTCTTGCTGCTCTTCTAGTTCAACTTTATTCCTAACTGATCCTTAGAATAACTCTACATCAGCGCCTTCAGCTGGCAACGGGACATGAGTTTCAGTGAAAAGAAGCCCTATAGAGACCCAAGTAAGATAGATTCCACAGAGGCACAGGTGAATCTCATAGTGAATCTTCCTAGGACGACTCCCTTCAGGAAGGCTGAATGCCTAGGGAAAGCCATCCACAGTTCTTCAAATTAATTCTAGATTATCTTTACATTGGCGGAACTTACACAGGGTAACTCAGTACGGTTCTTACCAGAAGAAAAAAGGTATTGTGCCACATCACAAGCCTAAGGCTAAACAGTGCCTTTCTTGGCAGCCTGCTGAAGCGCACATTTCCAGAAGTGATGGCAAAGTCATGGACCAACTCTCCTCCTGCCAGTCCTAGAGCCCATGTAGATGGAACAGTTTGTTTCTCTCCAAATCATACGATCCTTTCTTGCCTTCACATGCAAAGCTTCCCCAACTCCTCCTTCCCTTCTTTTTCCTGCCCCAGTCCCCTTTCTTTTATGCCTGCTTAAGTACATACTTCAGGCAATTCTGTCAAGAGAGCCTAGTGGCTGGCAAATACTGTGATGAGATTTTTATATCTCAATGAATAGCACAAACTTTGGCAGTTTCTCAGCAAAACTTCCAACAACCTTAATACATTGATTTTATGGTCAGTGGAAAAATGTTCATCTCCATGAAGTATAATCTCTCTCTCTCACACGCACATCGATATGCACACACACATGCAAAAAAGGGGGAAAGTGAGCAAAGAACAGTGTCTCTGAAAAGTGCTGTGCATCACAGGCTGTCATCTCCCTTTGAGAATAAAGGCCACAATTAGATAAAACACAAAACATTCTTATTTCAACATCTCTGGGATTTTCTGTGAAACAATACCTTTCCACATTCCTCAGAGAAAAGAAATAGGTTGAAGGTTATAAAACTCAGGTAGTAGGAACTCTGAAGATCTTGGCATTAATAAAGTCGCTAGTAACGAGTATGTTAATGAAGGAGCACTCCTTACACCTTGACCAAAAATCTAGGCCTTGTCAAACAAAAAAGGTCCTTTTAAAAAGTTCAAACCCAAATTAAATTATTATAGCTTAAAAAAAAAAACCAACAAAAAACCAATAGAAAACCCTTTTCAGCACTATTTCAGCTGTAAACTTGTGCTAATTTAAAGCAGGACAGTTTCTAAAGAATTGCTAGAAATGGCATACAAGACCATAGTGAATCATAGCACCTAATGCTAAAACCTCTGGGGTTTTTTTGATGGTTAGTACTGGAGCATTAAAAATCTTGTAATCATAAGTCTATGTGTTTTCAGTTAAAATAGAGATCATCAAATTAGATTTTAAATAAGAAAAAAGTCCTTGAAAGTGCTTTATGAACATTTCAAGCAGTGAAGAATTATATGAGTATAACTTGCAGGATGTTTGCCTTAAATGTTCCTGCACAACTGAGCTCTAAAAATAATAAATTTGCTGTGCCATCTAGACTGATGAGAAGACAAGTCCTTCCATTTACTGGAAGGAAAAGCAATCTATACTAGTAGGCCAACAGAAGACTGAATCTGAACAACTGACTAGCTTTCTATTTTAGCTAGAAACAAGGAAGGAAAAAATAAAAAGAACAAACCAATATAGCATCATGAAAAAAAATTCTAAAATAAATGTATATCATACACAGATAATTAATATTCTGCAATGATTTAGCATATGTTAATCATCACACTTCAATTATTTGAATTTAACTGCTATCATGTGAAATGAGATTTAAACAAAGCATCTATTGTTCTTACTGGTCTTGTGAAGTTCACTACTAGCTACTAAAGGGACAGACATACTAGAGTCATGCCTTATAGACATGCCCGTTGCTTGTAGTGGTAAAATCTTTAATCTATCTCTTTGTTGCAGATAGAGAACAGTACAGACTGTTAATATGACTTGCTTGGTGGTAACACATGAGAAAAGGACTGCAAAAATACTGCATTTTAAAATAAGTATTATTACAAAACACCTTCCGCTCTTTTGTCTGTACAAAAAAAGTATATTCTATGTAACAGAAAATATGCCAGACCTGTCTTCAGATACACATTTTCCACATTCTTCCATGAAACATGTGTTTCTCTCTTGTTTTGTTTTGGCAATTGCAAATGCAATTATGCTCTTGCAAAGTGGGATATAACCTTGCTACCAGTTAACAGTTCCTCTTGTCTGAAAATTCCACAAGTACAGGTTTGAGAAAGGAATATTTTGTGATATGCTGACACTGTTGAATATTTCAATAAACTGTTCTAATAATCAGCCTGAAGGTCAAAGGCATGCACGGCACTCTGTCATGTGCACTAACAATGTCTTGAAAGCTATTGGGATGGGTTGAGAAATAATCTCTTCTCACATCTTCCTCTAGGTCTTCAGCTCAGTTAGCCTAGAGGAAATGGCTGCTAAATCTGCATTTTTTTTCCCTGTTGATTTTATATTCTGACTGATATCTCAAGGTGTCACTTCTTCCTTCAACCAAATCTTCAGAAAAGCTGCTTCTATTGTAAAACAGAAAATTTAAATTGTAAAAGCTGCCCCTGGAAATGCTATGTGTCCTCAAAGCATCCTCATGCAGTTAAACAAACAGGTGCATACAAAATAAAGTTGTCATTGCCACAGTGAAATAAATTTCTCCGAGGTCAGAATGAGAATGGTCCTTTCATGTAACTATTTAAAGTAGACCCACTCTTGAATATTCAAATAAGTGAGATCATATTCGGAGCTTGCTTGCCCCTGTCTTTCAACTCACAGAAGTTCTTCTAGTTGAAGGAAAACAAACAAACAAAACACCTCACGTGGAGTTTCCTCTGAGCTGCCCTCAAAAACAGAAGGAAAGATGAATTTTGAGGGTTTCCTCCTTTCTACTTCATGGGAATTCATAGACTAGAGTGACCATTTCTTCAGGTCTGCTAAGTGATTTGTTAAAACTTGCAGTCCCCTGTTTTCAGTGCTCAAACTTAAGTTTGTTATCCTGACTCAGGCTCTTTATTTAGAAAGAGTCTGACAGGATAGTAATGTAGTTACCATAGTTATATCATCCTAAAGGCAGTCTTTTCCTCTTCCAGAGGAACAAAGAAACAAAAGAAAACTGCACTCTCAGAGTAAAGATCCAGTATTGTGTCCTTGAAAGTCACCAAAATACAGATGCTTCTGAGGGATGCAGACAAGTCTAAGCAGGAGGGCAAATATAAGGTGATGTGTAGTAACTTTGAAATAGGTGTGAAAAGCCTTTGCATTTGTGCAAATGCATGAAGCTTTACCCAGTGCTCTTGAACAAAATCCTCTACCAACTTAGAGGTCTACAAGTTTGAGTCAGTGAAAGAAGAGGGAATGAAAATGAGAAGAGGCTGTGCTGCACTGAGTGTCCTTTGCCATCCTAGCCTTTTGACATGTAACATTGCACGGGATCCAAAGAAAGTAGTCTAGACCACCATCTTCTCCTCTTCCCTGTTACGGGCAACTAAGAAACAAGGGCATTATCTACTCATTCCCACAAGGTACTGCAATATGTGTTCTCCCAGGAAGAACTCAAGAAAGACTACGTCTCTCCCCTATAAAGCATTTTCCCTTTTTTTTTCTCCAATGAACAGAAATCATAGATAATAATTTTGAGTTTGCCTCACAACTATCCTCCACTTGGGGAAATCACATTCTGCCAACATGGATATGCTGCAAGACCATGCAAGTGAGAAACGGTCCATTTTCTGAAAGCTAAACACTGTGGGGACTGGAACTGCGAAGTTCTTTATATCACTTATGACTAATTTCTTCTTATGAAATATAATAAAACCCCACTAAATATTATTGCAACGATATTAATCGGGTAGTTAAGTAGCAGACACTAAGAAATGTCTTTAGACATTTTCTTCATCAGGAAACATATACTTCATAGGCCTCCATATCATGGGGATAAGGCTGCCTAAGTCTGCTGACAGCAGAACAGAACTACTGTTAATACAAAGTTCATTCACAGGTCTTGTGATCAAAGTCATTCATGTTTCGTTGGCAAGTTTTGTCACCAGAGGTAGCCAGGGAAAAGAAAGATTTTAGGAGGTTTAATAGGGTTTTTATGTCAAGCAGTGCAAACAGAAAAAATAGTAATGCAATTTTCAAAGCAAATATATCTGCTGGTTTTTGTTTGGTGTTAGCATTGATGCCAGCTTCTAGTCAACCTCGAAGTCAACAGTAGATTTTTATAATTTCTCATTTTATTCTTTATAACACCGTACCTATGAGACTTTTTTGAGCACTGAATATAATGGGATTCACCTTCTACAGAGTGTCGTGATGATTTAGATTAGCATATATACAGTACTTTCTGCATTCCCTTCCGGATGCTGTACCACTGCCTGCATGGAGTTGGCACAGTTAGTCCAAGTGTTGAGCAGTCACAGCTATGGGTGCTGCCAGTGACAGCTGGCTGCTCGAAACTTCTTAACAGCCATAGCAACAAATACAAATACATTCGACTCTTAGCAAAATATGCAACTAACACTTCTGTAGATCTTCAGTGGTTAACAGAGCATTTGAGTACAGCAATAAACTGAAACCGTAGTTAAGGCCTTTATCTTTGCTTAGTCTCATTTTGGCTTTCTGACGAAACAGACTTTCTGAAGAATAAGAAAATACAAGAGTAGTTTCTTATTTACATCACAGGCATGCTAAAAATACTTTTTGTTCACATATGCCCAGGGCTGTCAGAACTGAAAATACTACCTCAAGCTACTGTTTCTTTATTGAAAAATTGTCTATAGCTACTTTCCACTTAGCACAAGAATTACTAAAGAGATATCTCATTCTGAGCAGCATGTTTTCAAGCACGGATTTTCCTCGAGATCCTGAAATATGGGAAGAAAATGTCACAATTCAGAGTTTGTGTTCAGAATAAGTCTTGACAGTGAAAGTAAACTGTGCTTCAATTTTGCAGTCCAGCAAAGCAGGGAAGACAAAGGAAATATCTTATGAATGCATCCTTGCTCGTCCAGTCCTACCAGATTATCATCTTCCACGTATTCAGCAGTGTAAATGTTTTGTTACTCAGTGAGCTCATCACATTTTAATGCAACTTTAATGATACTTCCCTAGCTACTTACAAAAATACTTACTTTCGTCTTTCTGCCTCAAATTTACTCAGCAGTTTTCGGAGACCGCCATTCTTAAATCCTTGGAAATGCGCTGCCGGGGCTCCCACTGTGATGACATCATACAGAGCATCTGGAAAGGGAACAGACAAGCACAGAGATTTGCATGCACCTATGCCCAAGGTATGGCAACACTATGGTATCTACTCTACAGGAGACGAAGACAAGTCTACATTACTTCCAAGGAATAATTGAGAATCTCTCTCTCGAGGAGACTCAAGAGCTAATCAATCTTTCCTTACAGCCACCTGCATGCTTTAGAAAGTTTATCTGATTTATTGCTACATCTAAATTATATGCCACAGTGTAGAACAACATTCTAGCTCTGCAGTTTACAAAGCTGCCAAGTAAATTGGCCCTTTGTGTATTTCACTTTATTACCCCTTCCATTATTTAACTTGTAGTCATGTTGAGATGCACAAATTCATGCATTTTAGAGTAAAAAAGACCATTAAGATGGAATAGTCTGACTGCCTGAATAACACAGGCTACAGAATTTCAGCTAATGATTCCTGCATCAAGCTTGTGTCTTCTGGTTGAGTGAAGGTTTTTTTTTTTGGGTTTTTTTTTTAGAAAGACATCTAATCTTGATTTAAAGACTTCAAGTGACAATACATTCACTGCATACCCCAAGAAGTTGCTCCAATGAGTAATCAATCAAATTTGACTAGTAACAATCTCCACTTCTTTTCTAGTTTGAATTTGTTTAGCTTCCACTTTCAGATATAATCACCTGTTTAATGCTAAATTGAAGAGCCCTGTTCTATGACGTATACTTGCTTTTTATATATGCTTATAAACGCAGAGCAAGTCAGCTCTTTTCAGCTGAAAAGCTACCAGAATGGGAAATAAACTATAGTATTGAAATTCTTGCTGAGACAACAAACCATTGTTACTGTCTGTATGTACCTGATCTCTTGTGACATACTGGATGAACTTTTCCATGACGTATGCTTACAGGACTGGAGATGGAACATCTTTTATTTTTTTTTTTAAAAAAAAGCGCCTCTCATTTTGTGCCTGTGATTTATTGTCAGTGCAGAGATGAAGATTTAATTACATCCCAAACCACAATAATTATTCCTTCAAAGGGTAAATTTACATTTGCAGAATTTACATTTGCACTAAGCAGTATCTGTTTTCTGTCCAAGCTTATCGGAGGTATAAAAATACAAGTCAGAATGCCTTATTCTTAAAATGTATTTCTAAAGGAAACATTAGAGGATTTTTTGTGAACCATTTTATCATCAAGGAAGCTTTCCCTGTAAATTAAAATCTAATCCTCTTCTAAAATAGAACTTTTCTTGCATTCTGATGATAAATATCCCTAGAAGCAAGAACACTGTACAAATGATTCACAGTTAATGAACTATGTTTTACTTCCAGAGCTGACTCTCAAAGCATATTCACACAAATTGATTTGAACTCCAGTGAACTGGTGACTCTTCAATAAAAGGAGAAGTGACATAATTTCATTAGCCTAAGGTGAGCTTCAAGAGTCTTAAATAGATCATTCTTTCAGGTCTTTATGTAAATTTATCCATAACACATAATCTTGGGCTATTAGAACTCCATTGGTACGTGACAATAAGTAGTTCTATTGCTTAAAACAACAGTGGCTTGAAACCAAAACAAAAAGCTGAACCCATCAGGTTAACTGAATAATGGCTTCTGAATACGTTTACAGATAACCCATGAAACTACAGGAAAACATTAAAATGATTCGTGCTTTTTCCAACTGTTTTAAAAACAAATAGTGACCCTGCTTATAGCTACTTGGGGGGGGATTTACCCAGAAGCAGCTTTCATTCTGCCTGTGGCCTCTTCTTAGTATGGTCAAGGAACAGCTGTTGAGACACAAACACAGCCAGAACAGCTGGGCACCTACCCCACGCAAGCGAACATGGGAGAGTGAGGATTGCAAAGAAGTAGAAAATGTCTACAACCCTGATGATGGGCATGAGGCAGTCTCACTCCCACTTCCCACAGCACAGTACACTGCAAACTGTTGCAAGACTCAAGAGGAATGCCTTGTTATGTGCTCCACTTGCACATCAACGCACCTCCTTGTGAAGGACATGCAGTGTCAGCATGAGTGCACTGGTATAGGAATGCTCCAGTAACTCACAACTATCATCCACTTCAAGAACACACTACTGCTGACAAGTCTTTACAGTGGAGACAAAACTTAAAACGCAGCAGTATCATATCGTCAGCATGCTTCCCCCAAATTAACAGACACTTACAAAAACCCTCAGCCCTTCTTCAAACACTTACTTCAGAAGGAAGAAAATTCAAAAGATTAAGAGTGCAAGGAAATTGACCTTTAAATGAATCACCATTTCATACAAATTGTTTGGACTCAAAGATACGCTCACCTCCTACACATACAAGTGAAACACTGACACCAGTTACACACTCATCAAAACCCAACAATTCCTCCACCATGAAGAAATACAAACTACCTGCACAGAGCTTTTGCAACATGGTGACAACCACAACAACACAGTAGAAGTTCTATAAACCTAAGCTTTATCAGACCAATTAAAAAAGCCGAGGGATTTTATGTCAAGCACAGCTCAATCTCAAAATTGAAGCAACCTGCTTGCCTTCACAGAAGGCAGTGTCACACACTGGCCAGAAGCAAAAGAAAAATCTCTTCAGTCCACTGAATTTGTTTAAAACAACCACACTTAATGTATAAACAGGGACAAAAGCAAAGCTATGCAATTTATAATTTTAACTTCTATAGTATGATGAACAGAACAAAATATGGTGTGTAATGGATAGGGATACAGTTATCCCACAATGAAACAGTATTTTTCTCAAAGCTGTTCCTACTGGAAGTTTAAACACACAGGTATTTTCTATTCGATGTCAGTACCCAATAACAACCCAAATCAAAGTTTGGTTAACCTGTTACTGAAGATGTGGAACAAAAAAGCACATATCCCTGTGCATGCACATGATAGATGAGACTACAACCTATCTCGCATTCCCAAAATTAAGACATCTGACTGTGTAAGGGTTAAACAGCTCTATGGCTCATCAGCTTGTTTAATTACCACCTCTTTGAATGTGTGGTTACATTCCAAGTGCCCTTTGACATATGCCAAGCAAAGCACCAGATGAGAAAGACTAACCTGATGTCACTGGTGCTTACTCCAAAATGACTAGCAATTGCTACGAACTGTTCCAACTGTGCATATCTAATACAAGGCACAGCTCTTTAGTGCTCATAAAATGAAACTTATTTCAGTGAACTGATGGGACAGTGGCTGTGTAATAGATATGGAAATTATTTATCCAACCAAAGGCAAATGTAATAACAATCTTCAATTACTTTTCATTATATTTGTACTATAGTGCTATCAAAATATTCTAAACATATTGAGGAACCCATTTTGTATACAGAGAAATAAAAAGAACTCCCCGTAACTATGGTGTCAGTCTTCCAAAAGTACGTCTAAGCAGAAACTCCCTGATTTTAGCGTAAGTTCTCTTCTTTATTAACATTTTGCAATCTCTAAACTTGAGTGTAACAAGAACAGTGTTATCTAATTCTCATGTCAGTGGAGTGAACATTAGCTAAAGAAAAAAGGGAGAGTTTGATAATTTAAACAGTTCTAAATTTAGAAGAGGATTCTAACATTTATCTCTTTCTGTACCCTTTTCAATTATGGATTAACCATATGCCACAAGGAAAGCGGTTTTGGAGAAGAAAGGAGAAAATTAATGAAAAACAAAACAAAAGTCAAGTAGTGTAAAAATTGTGGGTGATTATGTAACTGAGATATTTCATTCCACTTTTTTTATTTAGCAAATAAACATACAATGCCTGGTTCCCAGAGAAGTTTCAAGGAAAAGATATAAAATCAAGGTTCTGGCCACCTGTCGTTCATTGCAAATCTAAAAATGCTTTTGAGTTAATTAATTAACTCCAAAACATAAGCTAAATTAAAATTTGTGCTGTCATATTCTGTCACTCTAAGTCCTCATCTTGTTAAAACGTTTGGGGGCACCATTGTTCATCAAAAGAAATAATGAAATATTGAACAAACACAGTATCTAACAGAAAATCAAAAGTCTTCATGTTCCAACTTGGAAGTGGATGAACATAAGCAGTACGCAGTACAACACTCTTGTAATTATTGTTTGTACTTATTGCTTTACAATCCGCTTAGATACAGAGTGTATTTATAAGGCAAAAAACCTCACAGAGTGTAATTTCCATGTTTCTGCAGTGACAGCAAATTTAATAAATCTCAATTTATCAATAAATTATTCACTGCACTATGATTTGCTTATATGTATGTATCAATATAATCTTTTATCTGTAAAGGATGCTGCTAAAATTATATGCAAGCAGTAGCAGCAGAATTCTGTATTAAACAGAATCACAGACGACAGTACAGAAAATGATCCCCCTTTCCAGAAGGTATTAGAAGTTCACTGTATTTTCAGCATAACCAGTGAGATACTTTCACTTAGCACTAAGCAAATGCTTACGTGGCACAGGGTAGCACTGAATAAGCTGATTTAGGCACAAGCAGTGCTGGGCTCATTAAGGCTTCCTTAGAAATAGAATATATTAATTTTAGAAGTAATACTGTCCTTAATGGAACTGAGCAGCTTGCATCACCTACGCTGGAGAGTTCATCCCAGCAGCCTCTGGGAGGAAGTGTATTGTGCTCTGTCGCTGTCTCTGGTAGCACAGTGGGGGGAAAAAACCACAACCCACCTTAGAAACAAGCAGGTAAGACTGGCTTTTACACTACACTGACATAATGGATCACAATAAAAAATTAAGCCGATGCCCTAGAAGGACGTGAATCTTAGTAAACACTGTGCAGTGTGTCAGTATGACTTATGACAGTATTAGTTCTGCACTGCTTCAACAGAAGATTTTTAACCACAAATAGGTTACCAATACATTTCAGTAAACATATATTCTGCATTTACTTATTTGTTTGAAGTGTCATACAGACAAAATGAGCACAATACCCCTGGAATATATTAAAAAACAAACAAACAAACAAACAACATGCTTAAAGAAATTTAGTTAACCACTCCTTAGTTTTCCAAGATCTGCAGTCAGTATCCAAAACTTGTGGCTTCAGAAGATGAGGCAGAGAAATCCCTTGCACATCTTTAACTTTGGACCTGATTCTTGTTTCAGCACAGACTTGGTACTTCTGGTCAACCTCAGCAGCAGCATGCCTGGGTGCAGGTTTCAGAATTTGTAGAGAAATGTGAAAGACAGGCAAGCGGACCACTTCTTTGATGTCATGATTTACTTAAGCATGGTCCTCTATGGACAGTACATACTCAGTTGCTCTAGAAATATTCCAAACACCACCCAAAACTGAAAGCTTTGGTTTTAGAAGCAGATGTACAGGCCTGAGAGAATGAAATCAAACCCTTCAGGAAGACAGGCAGGTTCCAGATACATACACAAAACAAAGGCAGGAAATAACCACACAAAGTTTCTAGAACTCATTAAGCAAACTGAAAAATTAAATACTTAATCTGTAGTGCTGTACAGGCTTAAAGTAAGAAATTTGGAAGCTTGATTTTGATTTTATTAAAAAACCAAAACAACTATCAAACCAAAAAAACAAGCAACAATCTAATCATACAAGAAACCTTTTGTATCGAGCCATACAGCATGAATCTTACAAACAAGTTAATATTGTACAAACTTCACTGACTGGCAAAACACATGCAAAATTATACGTATCTCGGAATTTTCTTTAAAAGTCACTGTATTTCTTGTGATATTCTTTTCCCCTCAGCATTCATCCAAATCCACGTAAGCCCAAATTGCACATAAGTTTATTAAAAAAAAAAAAAAAAGAAAAATCAATTCAATACTATTACTTTCCATGCTCTTTATCTGTCCCATCTACAAAGTTTAACAAGACTGTAGGCAGTACCCTACCATTAAGTGAAAAATTCAAAATTACCAAGATTCATCTCTCTAAACAGCATACCTTTCAGTTCTTTGTGGTTTTAACGTTTCATCTGAAAGTGCATCAACCTAATGTTCATCCTGAAACTGGATATATAAATTAAGACATTTACACCTTCAAAAGGGCTAAAATGGAAACCGCACCTCTCAGTTGCAAGTTTAATTGTATTTCAAAGCATACTCTGTTATACTTAGGGAATTTCTTTGCAGAATATACTTTACCTTTCAATCGAGGACTATGCACGTGCATTCTTTGCAGATGAAGATTTATTGGGATGAATTCTAAAGTTTTTTCTCCTTTGCTACAGCTTGATTTGAAGGAAGAACCTGAAAATCAAAAGTTTAAAGAATCATTATCTTAAGCACCCAGCAGATGTTGTGTCTTCTTTTTAATGCGAGGACAATACTTGTATGTTAGGAGTCTTCTTTAATTTACTTTTAATGTGTAATTGTATATTAGGAGAAGAATGGTTCACTAACCCAGTCTCAGCATGTATCCATATTGGAAGCAACAAAACAGCTTTTAATCCACAGAACAATCTAATTTTTTTATTCTAGGTATAGACATTTTTTCCTGCTGTCTGAAATCAGTTTGCAGCCTGCTGGAAACAATATCCCAGTTAATGTGCATTATGTTTATTTTGTGCTAAAAACATAGGGGTACAGAGCTATGATGCTACTACATTTTCACCAAACATTTTTTTCTTCAAACAAAAGCATTACACTGACTAGGCTATGCATTCTTCCTAGAAAGTTCAAATACAGAAACATAAACTAGCCTAAGATGAGCTATAAGTTAGTTATCTTTCTAAAAAGCCAGAATCACAAGAAGCACAATGCTCTGGAAAAAAAATAAAATCTGGTTGTACACTTCAAAAGTATGAGATTATGAGTAACTCTATGGTGGTATAAAGGATTATAATTAAAGGCTGATAGAATGAAAATGTAATTTACCTGGTGATACTTGATACAGCATATACATAAAATAAAAGGGTGTAGATTAGGAAAGAGAGGTGGTCTTATCTGCTCACTCAGGCAGCTGAACATTTACTTAGACCATTTTTTCAGCACCCTGTTATTTTGTGAACTATTAATCACTTGGACTAAAATTCCTTTGATTTAAACAACAATAAAAAAAAGTCTTTGGAAAGGCTCAACCTTATCTTGCAATAAATAAATAAATAAAGGAAATACTTGAAATGCTTCTTTTTTGACTTAATGAAGATTTGCTAGACAAAACTGCCATAGATTCCAACAGGACTAAGCATTGAGCCTCCTAGTACAAATTACATTGCCTGAGGGCACCAGTGATGCTCCAGACCAGCCAAGCCTGTGTAGGCTGCTACTTAAGTTTAGTAACTTAAAATAATAATCCAACAAAGATTAAGAGGAAAGGTAGCAAGAAAAGCAATTGACAGGAATCAAAGATTCAGATTTGATATGAAACGTGGGAATGCAGGCTGAAACCAGGAGTCATTGATGATGAGGAATAGCAGAGGGAAATCTGCAGCTGGAAAGCGCAGAAAGACAAAATTATGTGAGCAGTGAAGGGAACTCAACTGTATCAGACAAGAAATGGGTATAGCGTAGGTGAGGAGATTGTAAATCTTTAGGAAAGAAAACAGATGGCAGATTATTTGAGAATTCAGCTAAGACCAAGATCAAAGCTTAACAAATGATAACTGGATCTGAGACAAGGGAACACTGGCTGACTAAGAGGAGAATAAGGTGTCAGCAGATTAAAAGGGACAGGCAAAACAAGAGTAGGAGGGAGAAGATGGGAAGAGTCTGCTCTCCCTGGAGTACACTTCTGTCCTGAGCTGGAGTAGAACACATGCAGCATTGCTGAGTCTTATTATTCCTGTCTTCAGGGAAGAACTATGAAGCAAGAATCCCTTGCCATACAGTGCCAGAAAGTTATGGGATAACAACTACCCACTCCTATCAGTTATTCTGTTTACTCAGGTATGAGAGATCCATTTCATGCAGTGGAATGAACACCTCAACCTATGTTTGTGAGTATCATCCCTATGATGTGACTAGTTTTCAGTGTGATTGGTTTGTTTGTTTTTAAATAACTTGGCAAGTTGTATTTAAGGACCAAGAAAACTACATTCCCTCTATTAAAATAGTTGATGTTATTACTGGATTAAACTCTTCAAAGTCAGGAAATACCAGAATAGAGATGCAACCTTCATCTGACATCCACCTGACAAGAACTGTGAAACAAACTTCAATGACATATCACATACTAGCTTTTTACAGCTCATTGAATGTTTAGGGTCTTTGCTGCTCACTTTACAAGCAGTGATTCAATATTTTGTTGCCAACTTTCACTTCAGTATCTGGATTCAAATATATTCCTCAAGTCTCCCACAAAGATGGGATCATTAATTTCCTCAAACCTGTCTACTGCATGCATCACTATAGTTTCTGAGGGCTTTACAAATACTTATAGAATAATTCTAACTGGCTGAGTAAAAGGGTTATAATTTTATCCATTCTAATGGCAGAGAATAACTTAAGGTCAAAGCATTTAAGAAACAATGCATCAATATGCACTATGGAGGACTTCATTCTGTAGAGCATTGTTATAATGCAACATCACATTCCATTTTGGAAGCATGGCTCCCACTGAGATGAATTACTCCCACAAGTACTTCTTGCCAGGCTTCCAAAAAAGAACACACACTAACCACTTCTGAAGTCTGATTTGCCTAGCATCACGTAGGAACTTTGTGACAGAGGCAAGGATAGTGTACAATTCTCCAGAGCAACATTCAACTGCCTTAACCTCAATTGTCTTTTCTTCTCCTTCTAGGGCTCGTTGAATAATAGATTTTTCAGTTTAAGGACTGAAATGGGAAAAAAAAAAATTCGGAGGGAAAAAAAAAATCATTTCAAGTCAAACTAAAAAGTTTCAAAGTTCTACTCCCTCCCAAGATCACCAAATCTGTGGTTTAGATTAACCTGAAATGATTTGTTTTGATGTTACCTAACCCTTTTAGATTGCTGTTATTATGCTTCCTTGAAACAAAAATACTTGACATTCTCTAAAATTCTCCCCCGTTTTTGAAAGATAAAAGTGTTTGCCAGAACTCAAATTTGAAATAGTCTTAACTTCCTTAAACCTACAATTTCAGTAAATAGGCTACTAAACCAAATTTGCTGTCTAACACTAATACAGTGTTCCTTTCACTGCAATCTCTCAATTTTTTTAAAAAAATTAAGTGGTCTACTAACAACAGCCTTCTCCATTAAATTCCAGAAATAGCTCAATTGAGCGTGAAGTAGATATCTCTCAGAAAACCCAACACGTCATTGTATAGGATTAATGTGGGAATATTTATGAAAAAAAATTTACTTGCAGATGCCATCTCCTCCTTGCACGCTGCTTAGGAGGGAACAGTCTTCCATAGCACTGATACAAGAGGAGATCAGGAATATGTGCACCTAGATGACTTACACGAAGTAAGTAGATGGTGCTTCAGAACTGTCCTTCAGAGAAGATACATATAAAACCCCTCTTGTTAAAGGAAAGCAAATGTTCCGTGAGTAACAAAGCAAAAATGCTGAACACATTAACATTAACCCTGCTTTTGCGGAGGAGTAAGAGTGTCAAGGAGCAGAAACACTTGTGCAACTACAGTATGAAGTCAAATATATGTCTGTCTTGCTTTTTTTATCAAATACTATAATCTTGTTTTTTGAAGTTATAATGTGAATTGTTTATAGAAAAGAACCATCACGAATTGAAGAACCACTGGGAGATCTTAAAACATGCAATGAATTTTATCCACATCCACCCTATTCCTTTGAAAAATAGCAGTAGAGACAAACTTCTGAAAACTATGCAGGGAGATCAATCTCTGTTTCACAGAGAATTGCTATTACTTGTTGCAAATGATCTAGGCAGAAAATCCTACATTGCCTACAGGATCAAAATGCAGATTTGAGGTTTTAGCCTAACACTCCACATCTATACACTGTACATCCCCTGCTTTGTATTTATAATTGAAAGATTTTAAACCTCTATGAAACAATTTTAAAGGGACACTCAATACTCAGAGGATTTATCGTCTAATTTAATTGTGATTTAATAAGAATAAAAATACTATAGTGAAGGCTTAAAAGTATATATTATCTTCATTAGAAGGACGGGGCTATTATTTGGCTTCAGAATATTCATGCACCCCACTGATCACAGTAAGTTTCTGATGTCAAAGTAACTTTTCACATAAGATGCAAAATCAGTGGTTTTCTAAGTATAAACAAGTATTTTACCAACATTGTATTATAAGGGGGGGGGGGGGGGGCCAGAAAGGGTTGTTGAAGAAACGTTTACGTATGTACCTGAGTGTTGGCCTCCAAATTACACCTCCTCATTGTTTCTCATCTTCATCACAATTATTAGGTTGCTTTGGTTTGGGAGAAGTGTTCCTACTCTTTTTTACATGTTTTGTCCTCAACCTCAGGTTCCCTGGTCCACTGCAGTTCTCTCAAACCACAGTTAAGACAGGTAATTTAACTTCAACAACCGTTTTTAAATTCACTTGGCACAGTACATGCCTTGCAGGATTCATGCTTAATAGATTACATAGTCTATTTCTTTTTTTAAGTCTCAAAAGGACATTTCAATCTTCTCCTGCAAGTTGCAATTACTACATTGATTCTTTCATAATCTGTATTTATTGCCTTGCATATGATACTTTATGGAGTGTTTTCAAAATGTAATTAGCAAAGCATTAAAAAAAATAATATATATATTAGTTAAAACACAGATCATGCTAGATCAGATAGCAGTCTGCCAAAATCAGAAATGAAACATCCTGATGATAGTAAACAATCATAAATACAAGAAATTACACTTTTGTAACCAAAATGCAAATTATTATTATACAACATTTAGTGTAACAGATGAGTTTTTTCCCTCTACACTTTTAAGCGGGTAATCAACTGGTCCCAAAATACTTATTTCAGTTAGAGACTGTTTTTTGTTCATACACTAAATCAGGATTTCCCTCTTCCTGTGACCAAGCAATCTAGAACGAGAAGTACCATGCTCAGTCCTGTATTAGAAGATGATGGCTAAAGGATAAAAATACAGGTTTAATGCCTGTTTTGGAAGGGAAAGATTTGTGTCTCACCTACTAAATGCAGCAGTTTCATTATAACAACTAAATGCGCCTAGTTCTCTAAAAGAAGAAATTATGTTGCTGTGCATTTTAGTTCTATATTGAACTAAAACCTGATTGCTCCATTTCTCACTACACACAAAATAAGTTTTGTTTGGTCTATGTAGAAAGTTAGAAAATTTAATTAAAAAAATACTGCAAAATCTCCATAAATATATACCAGATATTTCAAAATACATCACTTACACCTCTAATTTTACAAATATTCATAACCATACTGTATCTCTTTTTAAAGAAATATTCTAGGTTGCAAACTTATGGTACGTAACAATGCACAGTGTTTGCCTCTGACACGCACTGCTATGCCTACACACACAACTGGGGGAGTAAGGCCACAGTGGGAACATCTAAGGATGAGAATATGGAGTGAAACAGCATATGCAAGCACTAACGATAGAACAGTCTTCAAAAGCACATATTTGAGATGGTGATTGTGAGGACCGGCTTTAGAAATCTGACACCAGCAAGAAAGCAGCAACAACAAGGCCTTTGTAGTAATTCAGAACAAATGTGCCCATTTCCTTCCAGAACATCTCAAAAACCAGGGAGTTGCACCAGCAGGAAGAGGCAGAAAGGCATGCTATAAACAGACAGAAATCTTTGCTCAAAATATAGTATTATTCAGGAAATCATTCCAGTAGTCTCACAAAATAGAGAAGAATTATCATAACTTCCTTGAATGATTTGTGAACAATCAAAAGAAAAGAAATTCAAAAGAAGAAATAATTTATTCTGCAGTCTTTTCTTGTTGTTCTTATGAGTAAGAATTACTACAGCAGGAAAAGACCAGCTACGTTTTCTGCACATTTGTCAGTGATGCGGTCTTATTCCACTGGCACGCATTCCACATACTTTGCAGTCCCTGACCACAGGACTCTAGCAGATATTAACTGAACAAGCACCCAGTGCCCATCAGAATACAAGACCACTGTCTCCACATGAAAAAAAGCAAGACCACACATACTGCTGTTTCTGGACTGAGGACAGACTGCCCATCCCATACTAATTCTGTGCTTTTCTGGCACAATGTGAGCAAGGACAACTATTACACTAAGGATGCTCAAAGCATAGCTAGATTTTAGTTACCCTGTAGACTGTTAAACATAAGTTAGGTTTCAAGAAAAACTGACAAAACTACCTCTAAGGCTCGTTTCAAGTAGAAGATGGCATTCAGTACTAGCAGAGCAGTATATTCAAGGGAACGTGCAATTAAAATACACACACCCACCTCTCCAATTTTTTTTTTTGCTGCTGTGCAACCATGTACCATGTTAACTGTGAAAAACTGATGGAATGCATGAAAAAATTTAGATGAAAAAATGGCACACCTGTGAGTATCTCAGAAACAAAATGATTACAAAGATCTCATTTTTACGTTTTATTTCTGCTAAATATGCCACTATTTAATAACAATCAAACTAGTTACTTCGTAACTGCTCCAGAAGAGGAGAAGCTACTTTCATACCTGTGTGCTTCCCAAGCTCTGCAAGTGTATCCTGATACATGCTCAACATCTGTTCACAGTGAGCAATAACACTTTTGCGCATATTGTCCCAGTGAGGAGCGAGTTCTCCCAAGTCTTTAAGTTCCTGATTCCTGTATCAAAATGCAAAAAGAGAAGGCATTAACTCATTAATCCATTAACATTCATCCAAATTAATCCAAACCTAGTTTATTAAAAACCATCAAAAGCACTACCTAATTGAAATAAAATCTGTTTTCATGACGCTTGTAAAATCTGCTGGTTTCAGCTCTGTTATTCAGACACAAATTAAAGAACGTCAAATTGGTGAATAATACAGTAATTTCTATTCAAAACTCATCTGGTACAAATGCAATGGCCTGCAAACTGAAATATTACTTCTTCCCTGGAGGTAAGAAAGCTTCCAGGATCCAGAGAGCTGTGTTCACAGCAAATAACTTTTTCTGAAGAAATATTAAACATCATTGTAAAGAATACAGTTTGCTCCTTTTCCAATGCTTGCAGCATGGCTGTTTTGATACTCTACACTTTGGATACTTTTACACACACCATAAACATAGCTCTAGCAGCGTCTCTACACAAGTCAGTTTAACCAACACACCAGCCCTAACCACATTTCTTTAGTGTTCAAAACAAAACAAAGCACACAAACCAAAATAACCCCACCAGTCCCCTAAAACTTAATCTTCAGCCTTACAGCTGTGTTCATCAGGTCAAAACAGCAGTGTTATGGTAACCAAACATGTCACTGAAAATCCAAAAGGAAATCCTCTAGCAAATTATCAGTTTTCCTGTACACTCTTGAGAGCTGACCTGAGCGAAACAGAGATCACTTTAATTTCCTACACAAACAAGCATAGTTACAGTACACTGGGCTTTCTGTTTGTTTTCCCTGCTTGCAAAGCAAATTTGTCCTTTATCTACCCCAGAGGCACTTTGGGGGACCTGCTTTTAATGAAACTGAAACTGAAAATTGTAAGTCTTCCGACACTTAGAATTGTTCAAGAGACAACATGTGCACTACGACCAACGAGTTTTCACAGAATCACAGAATGTTAGGAGCTGGAAGGGACCTCGAAAGATCATCTAGTCCAACTCCTCCTGCCAGAGCAGGACCACCTAGAGTAGATCACACAGGAACGCGTCCAGGTGGGTTTTGAATGTCTCCAGAGAAGGAGACTCCACAACCCCTCCGGGCAGCCTGTTCCAGTGCTCTGCCACCCTCACAGTGAAAATCTTTTTCCTCATGTTAATGTGGAACCCAATGTTCCCTCATTTTCCTCAAAGTATCATGCAGACTGTTTCACTGCAATTCTTGGAAGTCTCAAAAAAGACTTCTAGGGGACAGCTCTTGCATATGGGAAAACTACTGAAGAAAAAGGAAAAAGAGGGAGGGGGTGCAGAAAGCAGGGGACAAAGAGACCAATGAGACTGAAGCACAGGAACACAGAGCTACACTTACTGCAACAGTTCTGACCACTAGGCACAAAGTCTTAAAATTATTTCTTAAACAGAAAAGCCACATGGATACATGAGTGTTTTCCCCATATTAGCTTTGCATTAGAGTAGACTGTATTAGAATAATCTATACAGGCATAATTCTGTTCCTGGTTAATATGACAACCAAAATCGAACAGATTGCACCGGAAGAGGAATTAAGGCATTTTGTTTATACATGCCCCTGAAGTACCAAAATAGAAACAAAGATTACAACATGTGAACTCGTTTGGAGTTTATTAATGATGTATGATTTTTCCATTTCATTCAACCTGAAGAACAGAAACAGATGGGACAGTTCAACTTTCCTGCATCGATACAAACTAGCAATGCTGTAGCATAAGAATCAGCAGCAGAAAGAGGACAAACCCACCATTTTCAATCACCATTTCCCTTGCAACTTTTTAGCATCTTAAAAGGAGACACCCCATTAAATAAAAATCTCAAGGCTTCCTCCTAAGAAAAGCTTGTAAGATTTGGCAGGGTATACAATTCTGTTTATTTGCAGTAAAGAAATTTTGGCCCTTAATATTTATGTTGTCTCATTCAATATGTTTAGGAACAATGTTTGGACCTGGCTGAGCTCCAGAACTTTACTGCTTCTCCTATACGGGAACGTAGTATTCTGCAGAAATTGGAGAAATGCTACACAGTGAGAGGTGGGGGCAGCACATCAATATGCCACATTCAGAGCCCTCTATCCCACAGAAAAACCACTACGGGGGCTCTGCTCCTCTGCCTCTATCTAAGCCCACTCCTGGAGCTGTTGGTCCCATGCTCAACTCAAGCAACAGCATTAGAAATCCCTTATCTCAGACTAAAATATCCAATCAAAACCCAAAACTGGTTTAACTGGCTGACTATGAGTTACCTCCATTGACACCAACAGCAACAGGACAGGAGAGCTCAAATCCCACCACATTAACTTTAACATGGTTTCAAGGAATGTCAAATCCTGCATTTACCATTGTCAACCAGACTTGTATCTATTTCTTCTCAGAAACACATATGCATCACTGAAGCCAAAATACAGCCACTAGGGTGTCACAAAAAGACACATCTTACTTGCAATATTTGAATAAAGTAAGTATGCAGGTTTATAGTAATCTAGAGCATATATAGCACAGAAACTTGAAATACTACCTTTTCTAAACTCATTTTCATTTAAAAATACAGTAAAATCAAACCATGAGATAACAGTATAGATTATACAGTATAGATACTATTTCTGCAAAAAATAGCCTTCTTGCACATTTTATATCTTTGTTTCAAATGCAATTACATGAGACATAGGATTTAGATACTATCTGCGTCTTGTGATTTCTGACTGTCACTACTGTTGACTCAGTACAGCTCTGAGTTATAGCTGAAAAAGAATTATCTTTCCTATCTCCATCAACAATATTCCATAGTACCAAGCTTTATTACTATTATCGTGAAAGGTCTCTCCCAAAAGTAAACAAACAGATTGAAGAAGCATATTATTTTTCAGATTTGGAGGTTTATAGTTCATACAAATAACGACAGCAACAGTCTTAAAAAAAAAAATAAATCTTTAATTAGTTTTAATACTATAATACCTATACCAGAATGTATTTCACTGAATAACTTTAAAAACACACTTCAACCAGTAATTGTGTCAAACAACAATTGTGCTACAAAAGAAAATTAGTATTTATAATATATAATGGTTCTACAGAGGGCAAATCAGTTACTGATTCACCTTTTCAATGTCACCATGGAATTTTGAATAGCTTGTCAACAGAGCAGTAAACTCAGAGTAAATGCAATACTGTTAAAATAGAGCTATTTATCATCTTGCTCCCCTACTCCAAATCCCCTCTCAACATCTTTTCCAGGTAATTGCACTCATCACCACGACAGATCCTGTGCTCAGTATCAACTTCAACTCGTCTTACAGAATCAAACCCAAGCTTTCTCTACATCTTGCTGTTCAGCTCCTCAAACTGTCGCCTGGATAGTCTTTTCTGTCAATGCACAATGGGAAACTCCCACCCAGGAGCGAGTCTCAACTTTCATTGTGTCCTGCCTTGATTACTTCAGTATCTTCCTTGGTGGCTTTGAAAAAAATCTTTCCACATCTGTATCTAATCAGAATGCATATGTAAACAGTCTGTCCCACCCCTCCTTCTCCACTTTAAATATTAGCTAATAGGCTTATTTTTAAGACTTTCTCAGGTACTTTCTGGTTTTCACATCCATTCTTTCCTTTAGTGCACTAATTACACCAGCTTTCACTAAGCAATTCCCATTACGGCTGGAAGCATCTCCCCATTAAAAAATCTAAAATCTACCTGTTATCTTTTCTTCAAAACTCTTTCTTGCCATTATGGCAGGAAAATTCAATATTGGATACTGATCTGCTGAAAGCACTATATACCATGCTGATTGTTAGGGTAAGGATTAATGATCATTGGTGCTCGCACAACACAATTTTAAAGAGATGCAAAATTCTAAGAATAAGATATGAGACTCCTCAGGAACCCATAGCACTATTAGAAATGTCATGAACCTTCATTTCAGACTCCTACTTAAAAAACAACAACTACTTTTACTCGGAATGACTTACTGATTTACACAGCTATCATTGTTGGGCACTTTGCCCTTTAGAGGACTTGAGCTCTACCCAGCCTTCCCCGGCCGATGGAAACTACAGTCACTGTGCAAGCTGTTACACTGATATGCAGGATAGTTTAGGAGGATCTCTGCCTGGAAGGAACTATCTGTGCTTTTCTTTATGAACAACCAGAGATCCGTAAACACCACATGACTGGGTACATTACTAGCAGTTAAATACTGTTGCCATTAGACTCGAAGTACGACATGCAATTTTTCTGCTCCAAGAAAATGTTCGATGAATCCCATTATTAAACGATGGTTGAGCACCCAAGGGTCAGATTAATATTCAGTCTTTTGATTTATCAACTCTTGCTTTTAATTTTTTATTTATTTTTAAGAACACCTTAGGTACATGATTACAGTAAATTACTAAAAGTACTTGAAAGAGGCACAAAGAATTTCCTGTGTTATTCAGGTTAATAATTTCTACTTAAACAGTTTCTGCTTTGTGCCATGCACTCTAGTGACCATAGTAACAGAAAAAGACTCTTTCTCATCACTTCAGATATGAGGATATAGGAACAGCTTAGAAGTCTAAAGGAAACTTATTGAATGCTGAAAATGTAAAATACTGAATTCTGTAAGGAGTATTTTGAATGAGTGGTATGCATCGTTCAGAGACCACTGTGGAAAGCACAGCGAAAACCTGTTGTCAGTGACAAAAAAATCAAAATAAAGAAAACACAGTAGCAAGATATTAAGATGAGCAAGATGAGTCAGAAGGAGGCATTCCGTCAAAGAACTTTTCTGAGAGAGAATAATCAGATCCAAAAAAGTGAACAGCTTTTTTAATAGCCATTTGCATCATGAAGGACACAGCACAAATCTTTCCAAATTGAAAGATGAAGTTGAAAAGATCAGTGTAATTATACAAAGAAAATATAATTAAGAGGACATATGATAAAAGCATATAAACCATAAACACCATATGAAGACAAAGTAGTAACTTCTTGATTCATTCAGCTTCAAAAATCCA